ATTTTCGTCATTCTTGGGCTGGCTTAGTGACAACTTGTGCTCGGGTGGTTCCACGGCTCGCTGCTGGTGCTCGGGCTTGAGTGGAACAACGTGGCCATAGCTATCCCCTCCGCGATTCCACGCGCGTGCTAGCACAGTGATGTAACAGTCGTACCAGCGACCAAAGATGCGGCGAGCTCGAGCCTGTGCTCTGTCGTTGCATCTCCCCCACAGGTCGAGGCGAGACTCGAGTGTACGACGGGCCAAAGTTGCAGATATGTTCGAGGGATCTCGGAAAGCGCGTCGTTCGTCCGTCTCGTCATCGAATGCCAAACGGCGAAAGATACGAAAAATCAGGGACTGACAGAATGTGAAACGCGGTCCAGAGCCGTACAGCATGGGTTCACTCATACATTCTTCGATCTCTAGCGACATTTCGATCCCGCAAACAATCATGACAGCGTCGCCGTCGAAATCTGCGTTTAGATTTTTCAACACGAACGGTGAAACGTAAATGGCGTCGCAATATTTCACGTTACGAGACACACCGTACACTCGACTCACTCGCACCACACTATCGTTGTGAATACACGGATCGCGCTTCATCACAAGGCCAAAGTTTTTTCTCGAAACATCAAAATACCATTCAAAGCTCTCGTCCGGCCAAGGCAAGCAGCATCGATGGCCGCCGCCATTGCCGCCGCCGCGTGTCCCCTCGCCGTCGTACCGACGACGACGACAACGACGATAGCATCGTCTCAACCGTTTATGTCACGTACAATCGCGGCATTTCGGCGGTTTGAAGCGCAACACACCCGCGCGATTGACACGCTCACGATCGATCGAAAATATTCGCTCTGCGTGTATAGACGGTAGCGCGATGTGGTTCGGCGACAAGCATAGCGCGATTTGTATGTAACCTCTGAGTGTATTGCGCAGTGAATACGTTGTCAAGTAGTGTACAAAACTCTTGCTCGGTTATAGGATAATTTTTACGGTCCCGCCCTTTTCCGTGACGAGATCGTCTACTCGTTTGCCAACTCGCGCCTGATTAAACATGGATGCGCTGCAGTATTCGTACGGAGGAAGCACCGCCATCGCAGCCAAGTTATCCAAGTTTGCTTTAGCAGCAGCAGCAGCAGCAGGCGCAGCAGCAGCAGGAGCAGCAGCAGCAGGAGCAGCAGCATCAACAGCAGCAGGAGCCGCACCATAAGCAGCAGCAGTAGCAGCAGCAGCAGCAGGAGCAGTAGCAGCAGCAGCAGCAGGAGCAGGAGCATCAGCAGCAGCAATAGCGGATGCATCGTCGTTCGCGGTGGTGTGCACGAAACACCCGAGCGCTTCGGTCGCGCAATTGACACCGGTTCCGCCTCCGATGCTCGAGTCTGCAAACCACGAGCGTGCCTCCTGGCTAGAAAGTCGGTCGAGTTGTTGAGTATTGATCGGGGCAGCATCGATCGCCTGCGAGATCCAAGGATCACCGCGTTGCGTAGCGTTACCTTCATTGTCGTCAAACAACAAGCGACGACGACAACGGTGTTCTTGCCTGCCTTTACAGTCCGGTTCATTTCGCTCGAGATTCGCATGCAATCGAGATGTGCGACGCTGCCACGACGATGGCGGTGGAGTTGCAACGGTAGCGACGGCAGTAGTTAGCCACTGTTTGCGTTTGTATGCCGCTAATGTACGTAACACCCGTTCATTAGTCGTCACAGGGAGCGATGCGTCAGCGAGAGAACCTACGCCACCGCAGAAAGAGTATTCCTGGATTGTTAGGTCGTCGTCGCAGCGCAACATCTTGTTACTCTTTTGCAGCGGCAGCAAATGCCAGTTGACAGACAGTTGCTTTCTATTGTCAAGTCATCAGAGCTCATCCGTCGAAATCCATCAAAAAAGATCTACATGAGCGCGAGCATAAAGATTGCAGTAAAATTGGAAAAAGAAACAAATGCTGTGGTAAAGATTAGGCTACAAACAGGGCTGTGATGACGACTGTGCATCAACAGCAATCGCTACATTCAGAGCACTTCTTTTTTTTAGAGAGCCTTTCTTTCTCGTCATCGGTAGGGCGTGCAGGACTCGCACGCGAGGCTGGACTCTTTGGCTGCACGAGCCGGCACGAGCTGCCGACTCTTCGTGACGACTGTGCATCAACAGCAATCGNTTGAGTGGATCCTTTAAATGGGACATCCTGTATGTCACGAAATAAATAATCTGCTGGTATGCGCAGCGCAATCGATACATAAACAAGACTACCGGGAAAGCAATAATAATGATGTGCCAATTTTACATCGGAGAGAGAGAGAGAGAGAAGAGAGAGAGAGAGGAGAGAGGAGAGAGAGAGAGAGAGAGGAGAGAGAGAGAGAGAGAAGAGAGAGAGAGAGAGGAGAGAAGAGAGAGAGAGGGAGAGAGAGGGAGAGGGAGAGGAGAGGAGAGGAGAGGGAGAGAGAGAGGGAGAGAGAGAGAGAGAGAGAGAGAGAGAGAGAGAGAGAGAAAGCGGGATCAGCGATGTTAGCAGGATTAGATTATTACTGGACAGTATCGAGACTATAATGGCGACCGCAGAAAATGGTGGCCAGCTTGTCAACTCAGACCAATCAGAGCGCAGCTGCGTTTCTCGGTCGCCGCTGCGTCTCCGCCTCTCTTCCGGTCGTCTTGTTGGTGCTTTCTTGCATGCGTCTTGCCGATTGTTATTTCTAACTGATGTGGCGCCGTCTCGCCAAATATACATACACATACATATATATATATACATATATAGATTTGTATCTAATATTTAATAACTTTTCCTTAAGTTTTTGCTAAATATACCGACTTGCGCTTTTCTAAACATAATATCGTCGTGTTGTAGCTCTGATTTATCATTTTAGCCTATCTTTCAATTGCTTCTTAATATATGCTATCATCTATACATTGTCATTAACTTTCAACGCAATCGAAATCTTAAAATCTTTAAGAATTTTCATCTCAGGACTGAGGCTAACCAGAGACTCGCGCTTTTCTAGACATAATATCATTGTATTATAGTTCTAACTTATTATTTTACTTGGCCTTTCAATTGTTTCTCAACATGTGTTGTCGCCTATACCTTGTCATAAATTTCATTGCAGTAGAAATGTCTCAATCTTCCACATCTTACATATAAGACACGAGACATCTTGAAAAGTGATTGAGAGGCAAACTTAAATAATAAATTGGAACTATATCGCAAGGATTATGTTTAAAAAAGCATGAGTCATTGTGTAATCTCAGCCTTGAGATAAAAATTCATATATTGATTGCGATGAAATTAACGACATAGTACAAGAGACATCATACCGTGGGCAACGACCAAAGGACAAACTAATATAATAAATTAGAGTTCCATTACAACAATATTATACATGGAAAAATGTGAGTCTATACAGTTAACGAAAATTTAGGGAAAATGTTTAAAATTGAGAAATTTCTGCTGCAATGAAATTTATTACAATAGGAACAACAAATGTTGAGAAGCTATTGAGGCCAAATAAAATATTAAATTAGATACTACATCCTAAAGGAGGAGCGCAACCTTTTCGTTCGCAGGAAAGGCGAATCTCATTCATACATGCGTGTCAGGGAACCGGTCCATAAAACATAAAAGTTTACGACTACGGTTATTTGTTTTCGATAAAGACAAGGATCCGCCATTCAGCACGCAGCCACTTTGAAAAAAATGTACCGCGCCGTTCGGTACGGCCGACGGTCATCTCTCGAATTATTCGTTCTCTCCCCAACCTCTCATAGAAATAACAAAAAATTCTATCGTACAGACAATCAACCGTTAGACAGTCAGTCGTTGGTCAGTCGATCAGTCGGACGTCTGGTAGAGATCTGAAAAATTTGCACCGAGTGAATCGTCAAGAAAATGGATATGGAAGAAATAGAAATCGAAACAGTTTTCAGAAAGATTAAAGAAAATCGCTACAAGCCCGCGGAATATGCCATAGTTGTAAGTAATGTGAAAAGTGTAATTTGAAAGTTTTGTGTGCGTGTGTATTATTTTCATACTTCGTCATTTGTATATTTGTCTCTTTTCAGTGCTTTTGTGAACGTGGAAAAGTGAAAATTACTAAACCAAATAGAACGAAAGGCTATTTTTCTATCGCTGAAAGGCAAAGAGTCCGTTCATCGAGGCACGGCATTACATATAAAATGCCGGGCATGTTAGCTGCCCAGCACGAAGCTGTAGTCCCGGCAGTAATAGTAAGCTTTTTATAAATATTCTATAATATAATAATTATTAATAATATTAATAATATTAATTTTTTCAGTGTTTCGGTGGGATCATGCCTATGCAACATACATTAAAATAGCAGGATACGTTAGTATAAGTGATCGTAAGATTAAACATTATTTTAGATTGGGGGAAAGAAATATAGATGAAGAAATCTTAAATGATTTATGGCACGGAAGAAATTTATATGATGTGTTTAATTTAAATGATTTATTTAATAATTATAAAAATGTAAAACCGGATGTAGAAGAAGATTGGTAAAGTAAAAAAATTTTTATAATATAAAATACGTGTGCATTTATTTTCTGAACCCTTATTTCCTCCCGGTGGGGTTTTAGCCGGTAAGAGTCCGGCATAACCCTCGCCTCCCCCCAAGAGGCGAGGGTATCCATGAGGATTTCCCCATCGTAAACAAAAAAAGAAATAAAATAATAATAATAAATAATTATATATATATATATTTGAACGTTATATTTTTTCAATATATTTTATGTAATACGATTTTTCTTTTAGCCATTATATAAAAATAATATATTTCAGTAAGAATCATATAATTTCTAGATGCTGTTACATATTGTTAATATAATTTAATAAAGTATAATAGTGAACAATATATTTGCTTATTTTTTAACTACATAAATACAATTATACAAAGTTTATTCAAAAAGAAAAAGTTTATACAAGGAAATAAATTTGTTTTGTGATAATTTTTAAAACATGTTTAAAAAATACATTTTTTAAGCTTTTTTTGATTATTACTATGTACTATTATTAAAGTTTTTAATAATATAACATGATTAAATCAAATTGGCTCTTTAGGCCGGAATCGTGAAAAATTCCGTGGCAGTCAACGTGTTAATCGATATTGGATTTACTTTTTGTCGGTACAGTCTTATGAAGATTCCACAAACTTCAGTGTGTAATCATCGCTTGCGGTAATAAGAACCGGATCTGCAGGATGGAAGACGAGTGCTCTAACAGCGTCAAAATGCGAACGTATATTTAGCATTCCATGTTTTTCTGAAGGTCTCCTTCGTGCTGGGAACCATCTGTGCAAGAAATCACCATCGCAACCATCATCGGGAACCATCGCAAGAAATAATATGTTAAGAGTATCAACAAATTGTAACTCTCACATAGCTGAAAAAAGCGATTCGACTGAAATACAGGGGAAAATTCTTGGAACTTACATCGTACGATATTTCTGCATCATTGTTAACACATAACTGTTCTAATTCTCCTAATTTCAGCATGGAATCACCGCCTTCTTTATTATTTGGGCGTCTTGGATCTTGTTGTAATTCTCTATGTAATAAATCTACAGGCATCATTAGATTATGTAATTATATGTGACAATATTACAAAATAGCTATTATTGTAACAGGTTTATATTTTATCCTAAAGTACACGAATAAAAAGGGATTTACTAACCCCTTTGAAGAATTCATTCATCCAGATGGATAGAACTAGGTGGCGATTCTTCAATTTCTGTGAGGAGATTTTATTCATTTAATACTTCTGCCTCTGCATCTGTATCAACATCTTTCGCCAGAAGGGGGATAGATGCCTGAAAAATAAGAAATTATGTTAACAAATAGCGTGAACAATATCATTAAAACTCAAGATAATAGTAAACGTTACTTTATTTGGTTTGGTATCCGTAATTGCATCATAAATTTCATCCTCTTCATCTCCTTCTTCCTCTTCCATGTCCATGTCTGTATGTCCCAAAAATTCAAAATTCGCTATAACAGCTGCTTCTGTATCTAATATCATTGCTTTTCTGCTATAGAAGATGGCTGTTGCTGAAACAATAAATCACATATAAATGTATAACAGAATCGTAACTATCCTAACACAGCTTAATTCTCTTAATTAAGTTCATATTATTTTAAAAATATAAACGTGTTTATTTATCTCTACCTTTTTCGGATGTCCCCTGGAGTATAAGACTTACATCGGATGATTCTTGTCTGTTCTGTGTTCCCTCATTTCCATTTAATGCTGGAGTATCCATTTCATCTGAGTCTGTATTATTATAACACAGGTTGCGTGAAAAGTTCCCAGAGCGAAACTGAAATAAAGAATACCTAATTCTAGAAATGATTTTATTCTTCAATATAGTCTCCATTAACTTCAATACACTTGGCCCGATGGCTCTCCAATAATTTTATTCCATCACGGAAGTGTGTTTCTGGAAGGTCTGCGAAATATGCCTCTACGGCTGCTATAGCTTCTTCATTCGACAAAAAAATGCTTTCCACGGAGGAATTGTTTCAGGCTTCGGAACAGATAGAAGTCGCTGGGTGCCAAATTTGGCGAATACGGTGGATGATCAAGCAATTTGTACTTCAGTTCATTGAATTTAGACATTGACAAAACACTTTTGTAAGCAGGTGCGTTGTCTTGGTGAAAAATGATTTGTTTGTGTTGCAAACCAGGTCTTTTCTCATGAATTTTTGCATCCAAATGATCCAAAAGGTTACAATAATATTCAGAGTTAATTGTTTTACTTTTTTCCAGATAGTCAATTAACAAAATCCTTTCAGTATCCCAAAAAACTGATGTCAAAACCTTTTTTGCCGATCTTTTATGCTTTGTTTGCTTTGTAGCTGAACATCTAGCTTCAGTTCACTGTAAACGTTCCTGTTTCAATTTAGGATCATGGTGATAGATCCAAGTCTCATCCAGTTATATAACGACGCACAAAATTGATTTTATTCTTCTTAAGACGATCCAAATGACGCTGAGAAATTTGCTTTCAAGCGAGTTTTTGTTGAATTTGTTAACTTATGCGGCACCACTTTTCCAAACACCTTTTTCATTTATAATTCTTTATGCAAAATATGCCGTATCCGTTCATCTGAAATGCCTATGGTATGAGCAATTTCACGCGTAGTCACATTTGGATCTTCAGAAACAATAACATGTATTTGCTCAATGATTTCTAGTGCTGATGCGCTTTTTGGATGTCCACTGCGTGGATCATCTTCAATGCTTGTACAACCACGTTGAAACTCAAGTATCCACTTACAAATCATTGTTTTTGAAGGAGCAGATTCCCCTAACACATTTACCATCTCGAAATGAATTTCCATTGTCTTTAAACCTTTTTTAACAAGGAACTCAATCACTGCACGTTGTTTCAAATTTTCCATTGCAAACAAATATACTGATACGTCAACTTCAATTAGCTTGTAAACACAGGAAGAATTGACAGATGGAAATGAAACCTAATCTAGGTTCATGTGAACAGTAGAATTATAAATTGTAGTCGTTTACTTAAGGCTCGTCTACAATAGCTGTAAGAGTAAGGCTGTAAGGCTATAACGTAAGCTGTCAGCAAATGAAAATATTTCATTTCGTGCCTTGCAACCTTACAGCCTTACTCTTACAGTTAATGTAGACGAGCCTTTATGTCCGCGACCGTGCAACCGGCTTAGCTGCGCTCCGCGATGGGGACGTCTGATTGGCCGCCGAAGAGCCAATCACCGCCATCGACAGCCGCTGCTCCGGTGGAAACTTCAGGCTGCGTTCCAATATTCATTATCAGTACTGAAAATATATAATTTGTGTTGCACATACTATAGATTTTCTCTGCTAGAAGTGAATATCGGAACATAGTCTCAGGAATCGCGGAACGCCCTGACCCGGGAGATAGCGCTCTCTCCCATAGGCACGGTTGCGTTAGTAAAGCCAGCGGCACACAGTGCTTGTTTTCGTGCTGGATTGCTTGCTGGATGAAAATATTGCATTCTGATTGGTGCATTTCCATCCATCTTCGAAAATATACCAATCAGAACGCAGTATTTTCATCCAGCAAGCAATCCAGCACGAAAACAAGCACCGTGTGCCGCTGGCTTAAGTTTCGCTCTAATGAGTCTATGGGTGCATTCCGTTTCACGCATATGCGCGCATTTTTTATAATATACATGACATAAACTATAGATAAATGCGCGCGTATGCGTGAAACGGAACGCACCCTATGCTCCGTCGTCAGTCGCGCCAGCTAATCCAAGATGGCCGTCTCATGGCGTGCATGGCGGGCTTCCGTCGGCAAAGAAGATGTCAACATTGAGTTAGACTTCATTTTCCTGAAAAGTGGAGGAGATAGTATTGGTACGAACGAAAACCTCTAGACGATATAATTTTAATTTCTGATTAGTAACACGGTTTAAGTAGTATGTCTGTTAGTTTGTGAAACGTTTGTGAAACGTTGTTGTGAAACGTTTTCGACAAATGTGGGTGCGTGTAAACAATAAATATCGAAGAATTATAATTCCTCATAAATATTAATATAAATTACATAATGTGGCATCAAATTAAAATTAAAATATATTAAAATGACGCGATTAGGTGGAAACGTGGAGTACATGGAGATAAACGAGGTAAAAATATAATTACAAATGTGTGAATATATATATTTATAAATTAATAGATTATTATTATATACAATTGTATAATTGTAATATGTGTTTAAATTTTGATACATCATAATATCACTCATGTTTATGGCATAATTCTTTGCAGTGGAATTATTTTGCCAATATCGTTAACTATGGAGTGAAGTCTGTGCAAGATTAGAGAAAGGTTTACACAAGGAAAATAGCAGAAGAAACAAATGGATGATAAACAAATATCAGATAAGAGTTAATATTCATATATGTGTGTGTATGTGTGTGTGTGTGTGTGTACATATAATAAAAGATTAATTATGTACGTGCTGTCTGTGTGACTGTGAATATTGTCAGACTGATTCTTTTCTTAAATTTATTTTCTTATTTCAGCTCCGTAGCAAACCATATGCTTGCAGAACATTTATAGCTGGAGAACAATCTCCTGCGGAGTAAAATTGTCAGTCTGTGCCTTGATGTGCATCACTCATGCAGCATCGTTCTTTGCATTGGAAACAATGTACCATCATCGTTAGCTGTGGAATAAAGTTTATACAACATAAAACAAGGAACACATAAAGAAGTAAAGGAACAAATATCAGATGAGTAACTTATATTTATTATTTATATTTATATTTATATAAAATAAATATAAATAAATATAAATAAATAAATAACTTATATTTATATAAAATAAAGTATTAAGCACCTATATACTGAAAATAATTGCACATGTTATCAGGTTGATTGTTGCTTTGTAATCAATTTTGTTATTTTAGCCTTCCAGTTAACCATGTGCTGGTGAAAGAAAACTTGAAATTATATCTAACATGGAATATAAGAGTACATCTGTCACCAGCAGTGCAACGACTGATTGACAAACCAAAAGCAGGTTCGTAAAATATATTTATCATCTTACTTTCATTGATGCCTTCAACAGGCTTTCTCAGTGTTTACGCTTGTATTCTGTTATCTGTTGATTTTGATTTCTTTTAACAAAGTGGATATGTTATCTATATTCGCATATGTCAAACTTTTATTGTTATTTCAGATTGTGATTTCTGAAACCTCGAGGATAGATACTTTAACATTTCTTTAGCAAGATGAAAAATCATATATTGAAAATGGATGATGCAACAGCCGTGAGAAATCAAGGAGTAAAAAAATAGAACACCTAGAATTATGAAAAGAACAGGTACTATAAATTTATACATTTATTTTTCTTTTTCCAATTCTAATAACGAATGTAATATTAACGACAAATCCGTATCTTCCATATTTTCTAATTTGTTCCAAATATATCGCAGGTCGTGTTCTCTTTGTGAAAATGTGTCGCACTTTGATCTCATCCAAAATGCAGGATGGGACAAAACGTAAATGTTTTTCTGGTGCTCGCTCAAATTAGCTGTAAATAATAATGAATTGTAAGAATAATAATTTGACAAAATTTTGAAGAAGAAAGCAATAGAAATTTCACAATATACCTATAAAGTCTACAATTGTTGAATGTTTCTTCACGCTTTTTTTTAAAGTTCCTGGTTGTGCCTCTCGGAAATATTATTTGTTCGATGAAGTTATTATTTCAAATCCTTCTTTTATTATTTCTGCGGGCAAAAGAGCCAAAGATATAAGAGGAGCTTAGTTGCTCCCCAACCCACTTCTTCTCCATCGCCTCTTAATATTTTTTGTTTGTCAGCGTTCCGCACTATTGCCTGTAAAGAAAATAATGTAAGAAAAGTTGACATCCATTTCTATTTGTTATTATGTACGCGTTATCTTTTATTACCTGGCTATAATGAAAAAAAAGCAGCCAATAACTTGAGCGCTTGAAAAAATTGTTTGTAGCGCGTTTCGCTCAATTTTCTCAATTACTTAATACTTTATTGTGTATAAATATAAGTTACTTATCTGATATTTGTTCCTTTACTTTTTTATGTATTCCTTGTTTTATGTTGTACAGGGTGTCTCATAACTAATGTTGCAGAGCTCATAGAGACATAGAACGGTTTAAGATAATCATATAAGTCCAATATCGTTTTGCGAGATTTGCAATAATTATCGAGTTATTAATGACAGAAATCTGAAGAGTAGGAGCGCGCCGACATAGATGATTGGAGAAGCGTTGCAGCTATTTCGACAAGAGCGCGGCCCAGTCGATCCAGAAACTGTTGCCGGTGCGCGGCAAGGGGACGGACAACGTGTCGCTATTCGTTTTTTATTTCGCCACTCCTACGTTTCGCAGCATTCTGCCAGTAGTTGCTAGATCGATTGACCCGGGAGGCTGCGACGCTTCTCCAGTCATCCATTTCGGCACGCGCTCACTCGTTAGATCTGTCTGTCATTAATAATTCGATAATTATTGCGAATCTCGCAGTATAACTGACAATAATTTTAAAACGTTAGCGTGTAAAAAGATATGAGGATGAAGCACATTGCCCGATCCTACCAACCTGGGTAATAACATATATATATATATATATATATACATATATATATATATATATATACATATATATATATATATATATACATATATATATATATATATATATACACCGAGTGTTTCAGATCACACGAATCATCCGATTTTTTCGTTAACGCGACACTTTAGAAAAAAAACATTTCAGACAAAAGCTGTAGAACTTCAAAGGATCTATTTACTGACGCTATGA